CTCCCTCCCCTCCCCCCTCCCCACTCCCACCCCCATTCCCATTCCCATTCCCTTCTGCCTCTCCACTCCCAAAACTATTATTAACATTCATAACCCCAACCCTCTGCCTCCCCACAATCCTCCTATACACCTCCCTCTGCACACCCCCCTGCTCCTCCCTAGCTTCCACACACCTTCTCGGCTGCTGTCCCGGAACCCACGGAACAGGCAACTTCCCAATAAGCGCCGGATGGATATACGTATAAAGCTGTAGATCCAACAGCTTATCCTCCACAGCAGGACGGTGCGGGTCAGAAGTAGACGTAGAAGTCGACGCATCCTGGAACGCAGAAACGCCAAACGCCGCAGCAAAAGTTCTGTCTCCCTCGTCGCCTTCGGCAACAACAGCCGTGGCGGTGACGAAGGGTGCGTCGAGAATGCCTGGTACGGAGGTCATGGGTGGTTCGAGGTGGGGCGTTGGAGTGTTGGAGGAGTCTTCGGTGTCGGAGAGTTCATGATCTGGGGTATCGCGGTGGAGGGGTAAAAGAGCTCTCCGGGTATCTTCTTCGTTATCAGAAGAAACCTCTTCGTCTTCTTCCGGAAGCCCCTCATCAAAGATATCGTGACGAGAAGGCGAATGCAAATTCGGTTGATGTTCACCACCATCATGCGGCACAGAAATCGACACCGCAGGCCTCGCTCCCTGTCCCTCCACCCAACTCTCCCCCCTCCCATCCAAAATCGAAACCTCCGTAGGACTCCTCGAAGCCTGAATCCCCTCCTGCTGAAAACTAAATCCTCTACTAACCCCCGGTCTCTCCTCCACACTCAAACTCTCCCTCTTCCCCCTCCCATCATCAGAAACCTCACCCGCACTATTCCTCCCCCCACCAGTCCTCAAACTCATCCTCCGACTCCTCTTCCGTCTAACAACATCCAACTCCCTACCACTAACCGTCCCACTAGCTCCAACCTCCCGATCCTCCCCATTCCTCTCATCCGCCAACCCCCTCCGCCGTCCCGCAACACTCTCCTTCTCCAACTCCTTCGCAACAGCTCCAATAACCTCCAACGGCACGCTAGCAACCTCCCTCTCATACCCATGCTTCAACCACCAATACACGATCCCCGTGCAAACCAACAATGGAGCAACGCTCACCACCATCTTCAAATACCCCGTCCATCTAATGCCATCGTCGTCATCGCCATCTGTGAAGCCAGGCTTGCCGTCTTTGTCCTTGTCAGTTGCCGAACCGGCCTTCAAAGCTAGAACTCCCATCATCGTCAACTGCATGAGACCCAATCCCCACAAACATCGGCGGACAGACATGGGGGCGAAGAGACCGCCAGTTTCGTACCGAGGGATGTTCACATACAAGAGCATGTACTGCCGAGATTACAGATCCATGTTACTGCAATTCATTCATCTCAAGCATCTTCCAATCAAAGGATCATGACCACCCTCACCAACCTTATAGATAAAATGCGCCAACCCAAAAAACACCGCACAAAACGGTAAAATCAACGGCGCTAAACTCGCCCACGTCATCCCCATCGTAAACACCAATATCGGCACCGGATGCGCTATTCCATAATTAATACTCGTCAAAATCGAGGGATAGTACGCATTACTAGTCTGCCGGGGTGTAGATCTCGACCACGGCGCAAGACGACTGAACCATGTAAGAATCAACGGGCCTGCTAAAAGGAGTTGAGCGGGGTAAACCGCTGTTGCTTGGAGCATGACGTAGTTGATGGCGAAGCCTGACATCTGTTTGTTGGGGTGTGACGAATATACCATGTTATGGAGTTGTGTCCAAGCCGGGTGATATTGCGAAAACCCCTTACCCTAGGTAAAGCATCCCCCAACACACGAAGGATCTCACTTGGTCCATTCTGGATCACTTTTGCGAGGGCGGTGACGGTACCACCGACCAAAGCACCAGCAATGATGATGTTCCAAATCTGATAGAAGGTGTATCTGAATTTTCAATTGAATCAGCAGCCGCACCAAATCTTGCACCATTCCACCTCATGCACTTACTTCGACAACACCGACATATCAATCCAGCTATAAGCCTCCAACCCCTGAATCTGCGAAAGCACTAAACAAAAGCATGCACTCCATCAGCACACCACATCTCCACCCCAACGCACAAAACCCACAAATCCAAAACCTACACATCAAAATACTCGGCAAACTACTCGTATAAGCCGCAACAGCCACCGCCGGCACAACCGTAGTAATAACCTGCCTCCACCCGGCGGGCAACCTACTCAACACCTCTCCCAACCCCGGAAAAAGCGCCACAAGCGCCTCCACATTTACCAGTGACGTAATACCAAAAATCACAACCGTCGAGAAAAAGACCAGCAAAAACATCACGACGTGGACAACAATGTTACGGAAGAGTTTAATGGAAGAGTCGGCGACGCGGGAGGAGAGGTTGAACCAGAATATGTCGCGGGGTTCGGGGGCGCGGCGGGCGATGCAGCAGTAGGGGCGGCGGTGGAGGACGGCTTGGGATGCTAGGGTCTAAGGATGTAAAAAGTGTTATTTGGTCAGCGTTCGCAATAGTTGTCACGAATGATCAATCAGCAATATGACAAGTCGCCAAGACCTCCAACTCACCGCACTCTCCGGACTTTCAAACGTAACAAACCCAACAGCAGTAGCAGCACTCATATCCGGAATCTTCCTCAACCTCGTAACAGACGCATCCCACTCCAAAAACTTATGCGCATAAAAATCCGCCGAATCAACCCAGGGACCCGTCCACCCCATAAACCCCGTCCTATGCTGCGGTCGCTTCAACTTATCCACCATATCCAACCGCGTCATCAACTCCGATATAGCCCCCTCCGCTCCTCCCTCAGTCCCAAACCCACCACCACCAGCACGGTAAGGTCCCTCCTCAGAATCCGAGTGCTCCGCCCCCGCCAAATTGATAGCCCCGTCCCGTGAACGGCTGAAGGACCGATACCGACTTTCCGACCCTCTCGTCCCCCCATTCACAGACAAAGCCGGCTTCCCATCCATAACCTTCGTATAAACATTCTCCAACTTCTGCAAATAATACGCCCGATTCTGCACCGCGGTCCGTAAATGCGTCCACCGCCTACAAATCACAACATTCTCCACCTTTCCAATCCCCAACCCTTCAAAATACGCCGCAAGATCCACTTCATGCCTCAACTCCCTCGGAATACCAAACACAATTATACTCCTCATATCAATCTTACTCATTTGCGTCCTTCGAAGCACATGCTCATCATACTGTAATTTCAACTCTACCATACCGCGGTAATAGGCTATGAGGTAGATGTATGCAACGATTGAGAAGGCCCATGTGGCGACAAGATGGACTGTAAGCCATTTTGATTGAAGAGGTATGTTGTTGATAGAAAGAGCGCGGAGGAGGACGCTTTCGCAGAGGATGCCCTTGCAGTCGTCGAGGGCGGGTGGGTGGGCGTAGTAGTTTACGGGTGCGATTACGGAAAGGCCCAATACTGAGAGGACTAGGAAGAGTTGGCCGCACATTTTGAAAAAGCGAAGGAGCTGCGGGGACGTAGCACGATGGTAAATGTTTACAATTGAAACACTAGTACGCTCACAGATAAGAACTTACCATAACACCATCCATCCCAACCGTACTAATCAACACACTCTCCGGCATATTATGCACAAACGGCGCCCAAGAAAACAACCCCTTCGGCAACCGGGGTGGCCGGCCCCTGCACACAAACATACCAATCAGTCTCCGTCACCCCTTCAACTCACTTTTCTCAAAGCCCATAAACATACCCAGCCAAACTCCTCCTCGGCGCATAAATATCCTTAAACACCGTCCTCACACAACAAAAAAGTATAAAACAAAACACCCCAACGGCGAAATA